TCTCCTTTACCCACCTAAAGGATGCTATTGCAAATAGCAGACGTATATTAGACGCAAACCAAGTTGCACAATCAACACTCGAAGGCGCCCACATACGTTGGTACCAAGTTATACTATATATCGCGATTGCTCTGGTTATTCTAGCCGTGATATATTACTGTTGTGCACCACCACAGTGCAGACCAAATATCTGCCCAACACGTACATTAGCTACCCCCACCCTTACCCTAATCCAACCAACATCACCCCCTTATTTACAGCCCGAACCACATCCATTTACTGCCCCACTATACCCAAATATACACCACCAGGAGACCCAACCACTAACACCACCCACCCACCCACTCGAACACCCACTGGAAATTCCAGCCGAGATTGAAATGAAAGCCCTCTCGCGCACTAAGCGTGTTGCAAAGTGATGCGTAGACTCCGGCGAGTTTGATTGTTTCACGCATAGACATGCACAACCGTCGTTTCGAGTTTTTTGCTCACAATGCTACGTATTGCAATAAGTATATCACCATTCCAGTGATGCATACTTATACTTGTGAGATAATTAGTTTTTATGATTTGAGGTATTGATTTGATGTATTGATTTGATGTATTGATTTGATGTATTGATTTGATGTATTGATTTCTTGGGTGTTTTATTATTGATTTATTGATGTATTGATTACATGTATTAATTTGGTGGACTGATTTCGTCAATTGCAAATCATGTTTGCAATATGTCTGCCCAGTACTTAATTCTATGTTTATGAGTTTTTAACAGCGTTTCCGTCTCGTCCCCATTTGTGCTAACACCGTGGAAACAAACTACGTGCAGACACAGACAGCTCTAACCATGCGGCCTGCCAGGCAATCAGGCATTTACAAATATTCAGGCTGTATGAGTATTTCCTCATTAATTCACACTCGCTCACGCGTTTGAGTTTCGGGACGTTTCGCCATGTCTAATCAGTCTTTCATGTTCCAACATAGTCTTACCACACCAGCGGCCAGCACCGAACAACAGCACACCACACGCCAATGGAGAATAGCATTGTCCCCCATTGGCACCAACCCGGATCGACATGGTCACTCGCCATAATTCGCAAAAAATCTACGACATCCAGCACCACCCAAAAAGGAAGAGGCAGCAGCGAACCGTGCGCGAGCTTTTACGAAGGCTTGCATGGCTACGTCATCACCCCGGCCGCATCAGCAACACAGCGAGGATCAACGCCCGCAACATCACCGATCACCCACGTACGGCGCATGAGGCCCGATCCTTATATCACACATGGACAATTCCACAGCGTCTTCAAGGCCCGTACGGCCACCGCCGGACCATTCCACCTGGAACACCGCTACCGTTACGCTACCGCGACGAGCAGGGCGACTCGACCAACGGCAAAACCAGCAGGGACGCCATTTCGAGAGAGGCGACGCGCCGCCACCGCCGAAAGGCGATTCAACAGCTCCAGGAAGGCCAGTCCTCGGCCGTTCCCCTCCTACAAACCCACACTGATTCCCCCCCATCCAGCCCTCGCATCCACCTAACGCACGCGGCTCCACCGCACGACCACACGCACCCGCCGCACGCTGCACGCCGCCACGTCTCTAGGATCCACGTTACGCCCACACTTCTCCCTCTCCACCTTCGCCTTCTCGACCCCTCGTTGACCTAACCTCCTACACCTCCAAATCTACACCTGGACCGCGAGTATGACTCTCCTGCCCTATAGGAACAATTATGCACTCACAATATGTTAAAAGTGTACCTATACCTGCTAATTCCCCAGTCAGCGGCAGCAAACATGGACATGCAACGTGCGAGTCAAGAGAGAGGCAGAACAAAGGACGAGCAGAGGCCGTATCAGGAACGGCAGTGAAAACGAGCGACGCTCCAACACGGACTCCCCGACCCGAACGCTCGACATCGCCCACGGGGAAGAGGCTCAGGGAGAGCCACAGCACAAACGCCTTCGTGTGGACTCGGTCACCTCCCAGGGCGTCGCTGCCCACCAACGCAACCACACCGGTCGCGCGGAGCACAACAGACCAGTGTATAGGCGACCTAACGGCGAGCCACGCCCGTAATGCGACGCCGCGCCTTATTTTTGGCGGCCACATCATGGCCAGCGTGCGCCTATGAACATTGACATTGCCTTCCTCCCACGAATGTAACTGAAGATTCCGAGCCTCAACCCGGGCTTCACGGTGGGTGCATGTAGCCGCCGAACACTACTGCCCTTGAAGATTGTGCCCATTCGACCGATGCGCCACTTCCACGTTATCCTGGAATATTCAGCCACCGACCGGCACACCTAAGTGCATGAGGATGACGAATGGGCGCTTCACGACGACGACGATGAAGCACATGGAAAACTGAGCGGGAGAGCTGGGGGCCGGTGAACCTTCACCACGACGGCTGCCACAACCGACGACTGAATTGACAAGGACGATGAGGACACGGACCACGGACAACGGACCACGGATTAGTTTAGAGCGAATATTTAAGTTAGTTAAGTTTTTGGGTAGTGGATGTATATATATATATAAAAAATATAAAAATATAAAAAATAAAATAAAAAAAAAAAGCTGGTAGGTAAACCACTAACTGCAACATTAACCTTAAAGTTCTTCGCGATAAGGGATCTCGCTCAGAAACTTTCCTTTGGGGAAGGGCGACTAGTGTAATGAAGCTTAATATTTATATTAAAAGGCAACAAGCTTGATTAGAAGAAGTAATTAAGGAAATCGTAAAGCTACCGACTAGCCTTAAAGGGATAGAATGTTAGAATGTCGCGGCAGGTTTTAGAAACAATACTAATCTACAGAGACAATTAGCTTAGTCGATGCTCATGGCATGCATCCCGTAGAAACGGTTAACTATGGGACATGTCCGCAAACCGTCAGATAACTCGCCGTCTAAGGTGCGTGTCGAGGCAGTTACTGACGTCAGATTTAGAAGGCTAATGATCTTGGAAATTTAGAATATATACCGGGTACTAGACTCAAAAATATCAGTTCGAACTTTATCGCACATCTGGTATGTATTAATAGGCTATAGTATTAGCTCTATCGTATTGTTGTCTCTCTCTCTTTAAACTATTTTAAGTCATATGTACTTTTGTTCTTACGGTACTTACCTCTGTTTAGTCATATACATCAACTCTGTTTATATTTATTGAAAACAAGTCGATACAAACATACAACTCTGTATGTTGCACGAGAGAGACGGAGCGGCTAGCTGAGATACGCTAGGACTATTTATTACATTGCGCCTAACCACCGTAGTCCACGCCGGTAATGGCGTGCACGTATGTCGTTTACCTAACACGACGAACCCTGTATGCTTGTACTTAATTGGTGATAGGAAGAAATAGATATATATTATTGTTGTACGTACACGTCTGGTCTGCTCTATTATTTTATGCTAACCTCAGCTGGTAATTAATTAATAATTTACGCCGCCACAAGCGAGACACCTTTTCGCCGGTAGAACAGCGCATGGTATACACATATACTCACGAGCCACGATCAACACACATCACACACACGATCACACAGACACGATCACACACAACACCACCAACACAATCTGAGCGTACACGTATACGCGAGTCGAAATAGAATCATTACACCATTACGTATCTATGTCTCACAAATTATACACTGCTTTGGAAGAAGGCATGGTATACTATCCATTTTAGGGACATATAGAATTCACTGGCACTGCAGATCTCATAATGCATCTACTAGCCTCACTAACGCTCGTAGGGTCTATGTCCCCCAGGGTACTGCCGGAACGTACCCTGGTAACTATTTGATATGGTTAGGGTTAGGGTTAGTGTTAGGGTTAGGGAGTAGGCGTAGGCGACTCCCTAGACTCGTTAGTGGAGTAGGTGAGGTACGGTCCGACATATTAGGTAGTACCAGGGTACGTTCCGGCAGTACCCTGGGGGACATAGACCCTCTCAGCCTCACTAACCGTAGGAAATTCCTTTCTCTAGCCCATCTAGAACAGACCATGCACTCTGTCAGTCAACTACCAATTCTTTGATAACTAGAAGCAGAAATAGACACTATAGTCTATAATATCATGTAATCTTAGCTTAATCTAATCTCTAATCTAATATGAATACAAGTTCACATAAAGTTTTATTCAGTGGCTGTGTTATGTGACAGTTACACTAAGTTACAGTTGTAAACTAGCTTGTGATGAGCAACCGTAGGAGAAGATTCTCTCGACAACATCACATTACTTACCAGAGCAATTAACATAGAATTCTGAAACTGGGCACTTTTGTAACATAAGACCGAATTCATAATTTGTACATATTCTGATTATTCTGATTAGTCTGGTGAGCATCTTGTGGGGGCTGCCCATCTATTTTATCTACTATTATTTATCAGATATCATTATATTATATCACTATTCATTCACTAAGTCTTAGTATTTACTTGGTCTGTTATTACAGCAACAAATCGTGGGGGCTACCATTATGGTGAAATGGAGCACCGTGATTGGTTCAAGCTTCGCATAGAGCACCGTGATTGGTTAAAACTTCGCATACAGCCATCTATTGGCAGAATTTGTCTGTTTCTGAAAATTCCACTTTTCAAAAGCTTATTACAAACTAATGTGCAACAATTTAGGGGAGAACATTGGTGATTTATAATCAGGATAATTTATTTAACTCATAGCCAAAATTAAACTTGGTTCCATGAGGTGTCAAACGAAAGTGAACAATAATCACTGTTGGCCCATGGCCTATAACAAGTAACAAAATTACTAACAACAAAAAACAAACCATTAACAAATATCGGCGATGTAATGATTATTTTAAAATCGACGTGACAAAAACAATCCACTGGTATCCATGTCTGGGTACTTTTCACAATACTAACTGATAACTGATAGCAATCAGTGCTCTTCTGAATACACTCTATCCTTTTGTGAACATTGGAATCGATGACTTTCGAATGCATGCGGCCCATGTAGAAGTAAGCTATCAGCACCGGACGAATATTATCGTTGTCAAACTGTACCGGCAGTTCGTCGTCCTAACTGAGTCGAGGAACAATTCGAAATTGCGAATGCACTCGGCGCCGAGCAGGCTGATCTTCCTGACGACGTGCGGCGACGGCGTTGTCTGCTGCTCCTCAACGATCGCCATCTTGATGTCGAGCATCTTGCCGTACGCCTCGGCGATCTCGTACGTCAGCTGCCGGCAGACGAGCAAGTAGTGGTGCGGGTTGAGCTCGCCGAGCACTCCACGCAGCGCGTTGACGCGCCGCTTGTGCATCTTCGACTTGCGCTCAAAGTCCAATTCGAAGAACGTGAGCAGGCTGGAGTCACACGTGAGCTCGGCGTAGTCCAACGCGTGGTCGTAGAGCGAGTAGAACTCACGCGCGTCCGCGAGCGAAGGGTCAGCCAACTGGAATGCTCTGGGCAGACCGTAGAGATGGCATCAGTGCCGCTTCAGAATTATGGCCCCATGGAATCCTACTGGTGACCACTGGGTCCTGGTGGTCATATCCACGAAGGAGCGACTCATATTATACTTGGATCCACGGTTCATGGCATTACATAGAGGTCTGTCAAAACTGGCAAAGGATCTGTCTGTACGTAATTAACATTTCAAAATATTTATATCCTGTGCATCAGAACTTCCGCGACCCTCAGCAGTGACACGATCGCCATGCCAGATGCCGTCCTTAGATCCGGGTGACCACCGCCGGATCCCATGACGTGTTGTCGTTGCCGCAGCAACGGTGTGTGAGAGCAAACCTGATGCATGTCCACTTGGCTTCCGTGTATAGAGCGACACTAACCTCCCTCGCTCAGCGTGGCTCATGCTGTTTCACGGAAAAACTACGGTTTAGCTTTCAATTATTAATTCATTATTATTAACTATTAATTATATAATTCACTAGTCTATATATATACGTCCATTCTTGCATTCATCCTTGCATTCATCCTTGTAAGATTCTATAAAATGATTATTTGAAGCTCATTCTGCTGTATTTTCCTAATGTTGGCTATGAAAGTCAATAGTATAATTTAAACTGAGTTGACTTATCATAGTGGCTTATCTGTTGTGGTGATATATTTGTCCTAAGTATGTTTTTAGTATTTAAACCTTGTTTTATTATGAGAATGCACACATATACACGTCTCCTCACATTACTATGGCCAATATATATACAATGTAATATGTAATACAAACAGTAAAAAAACTAGGTAGCATATAACAGAGGACAACATTCACCTTCCAGGAATCCTGGCTAGATCTTCTCTGTAGAGATTGCTTTCAATGAAAGACGGTAGTTCTTCACGTAAACACGGCGGCGCGTCATTGTTTCCGATGCCGACGGCTTCACAGATGGTTGACAGCATCATTGTACACGCCAGCTGACACATCGGTCTTCCAACCTACCACAAAACAATGACACGTTTGATTATTCTCCATTAATTTCGCATGTGTGCAGAACTCATCAACGACCGATACGTGTGAAACATAACAAAGAGGAAATGTTATCTTCCTAAATTTTGATCGTATCAATATTAAATATGTTACTATATAAAAATATCTACGCGGTTATATATTGCTGCATGAACTTCAAGCATTAATTGTTTTTACACGGTTTAATTAGAGCACTCACTTATTTAACATGTTAACTGTTACAATAAATGTAAAGAAACCAATATCAGTAAAAATCCCTGATATTGGGGGTCTACCATATACAGCATATGTGAATAAAGAAAATGATGGCTCCAGACACAATCTAGGCAGGTCTCTGCACAAACACACCTCATCGACTTTCGACAGAGTGTCCAGTCTGTGTACCGGACTGCTAACTAGCTTCTGTACGTGTGGCATCAAGACAGCAGCAGGAAGCAGCGCGTATAGAATCCACAGGGCCCTGCAGTATAGCTCCACGGTCGACACGTCGCTCGCTTGCCAATTAACGCAAAACCTTATCAGATTTCATTTCATTTGCACTCGATTACCTCCCAGCTGATGATCGACGTACCAAAGAAAATACATTATTAACAGCTTTTGCCTATGTGTACAGTCAAACGCGCCACTCGATGGTGTTAAGTCTAATTTTGTTTCTAACAACAGGCCCCGGTCTATAAAGGAAACTTTTGGCATTCCCTTTGATTGGTGAGCCACCACTACATAACAGACACCTGTCTATAAAAGACACTTTTAGACTCGACATTAGTCTTAACATTAATTTTTTCTCATAGACGATTGACAGAAACATGAGTTTCTCATACACAGTGTATAGAGGTCACGTCTGTGAGAAATAGTTAATGTTAAGGCTAATATTAGCCGTCCGGGTCCGGACCCCCCCCCCCCCCGCTCGCGCAAAAACGCATCTGAGGGGGTATAATTTCAAAAAAATTTGGGGGGAGGGCCCCCCTACACCCCAGACCCCCCAGACCCCCCAGACACCCCTTAGCGTGCTCGCAAGTTTGGGTTACAGTTAGACCCCCCCCTCCCCCTCCCTGGTACAAATCCGGTACACGCCCCTGATAGCCCGCGTACGGCCAGCGCAACCTAGCTTTAGTACTATAGCCCGCGTACAGTTGCCGCATACGCGGGCTATAGTACTAGAGCTAGCGGAAACTGTACGCGGGCTATAGTCACTAGAGCAGATAAGGTCTATGTCGATCTCCCTGGGTACTGCCGGAACGTACGGTCCCGTTGGTCCGGTATACCGGAACGTACCCTGGTAACTATCTGATATGGTTAGGGTTAGGGTTAGGGCTAGGGTTAGGGCGTATGCGTAGGCGACTCCCTGGACTCGTTAGTGGAGTAGGCGAGGTACGGTCTGGTAATCATATAGTTACCAGGGTACGTTCCGGTATACCGGACCGTATACCCAGGGTACGTTCCGGCAGTACCCAGGGAGACATAGACCCTACGAGCGTTACTAGAGCTATTAACGAAGGTAGGCCTAGTACTGGCTAACGCTTCATTAGGAGTGCTCCCAACTTTGATATATCATTAATGATTAATGATTAATGATTGATAATCTTAGCCCTAACCCTAACCCTAACCTAAATGACATTAAACCACAAACTAATATTATACAGATAACGCACGGCCTGGCGGCACAATTTTTTCCCCACGCGAGTTCCGGAATACAGCCAATCAGCGCACTCCATTCACTCGACTTCCTTGAAGCAACAATGAAAAATGAAACAAATGTCACCTTATTCCCTAACCCTAACCCTAACCATAGAGCAACCCTAAACCTAATACTACCTATGAGCCGACTCACACGCTTATATACAAACACATCGTACAAAACACTATCTATATAGTGTATCCGGAACTCGCGTGGAAAAAACAATTTCGCGGCCCGGCGTGCATCAGTGTAAATGCAGCGTGTCGCGAGGTATCTTGAGACTGGCTAATTACGCACCAGTCTAAAGATACCGAGCGCCGCGCTGCATTTACATTGATCGCACAACAGGCCAAGTGCGTTATCTGTTTTATAAAATTGCGACACACACAATTAATTGAAAATAAATAGTAAGTCGATCTAGATCACGACAATGTATTTCAATTCCGAACGTCAAAACAAACACATTTACAGTTTAGTAAATTGCTTCACACACAATTAACAGTATGTCTAGATAAACAGTATAGATAAATAGTCTAGAAAATAAATAGTAAGGCTATAGATCTCGAAAATTTATTCTAGTCCCGAAAGTCAAAAACAAACACATTTACAGTTGATTAAATTGCGACACACACTATAACAATTTAACAGTAATTAAGTCTAGATAAACAGTCTAGATAAATGGTCTAAAAAATCAATAGTAAATCTACATCTCGAAAATTTCAGTTTGATGTTTAATTATTGTAAATATTAACATTGCATTCATGGAAATGAAAATTCTTACTGATGCTTTGTTGTTGGTGAATAATTTGTGAACTGATATTAGACTGCGAAGATGGACCAGCTAGAACATCGCCGTAAGCCACGGTTTCTTGGCTATAAGACTCGGTAGAGATAGAACTACTACTAAATGTCACAGTCTTGTTCTCGCTTTCCGGACCAGAAGTAGAGCTTTCACAGTACAGCTGTTGGGCGTGAATGCCGCTCATTTCTCTTTTTCTTTTTTCACTAGTGCGTTGCCCTTGACCTTCAACGTCTTTCATGATCCTAACCATTTCCTGTCTCAGGCTTCGCACCTCTTCCCGTAGACTCGACACTGGATCTTCTTGTTGCATTACAGCTCGTACATGAGTGCCTTCCCCTGGTGGCGGTTTTCTATGATGTACCGTTTCCCTTGTAACGGCCTCATACTGTGCTACCCGAGTTATAGCCTCGTCAAGAGTGCGTAGCGTTGTATTTCTACATCTCCTATTCCTTCCAGGTATTTATCTATCAGGATCTGCTCCGTCTGATGACCTATCATGCCAGGGTACGCCCGCGCGAACAGCTGCCGCATCACAGCGCCGTATTCCTCGGGCGTTTCCTCATACCTTCTGCTCCTACGACGTAGCTCACTCCGATAAACGTGGATGCGCTTCACCGGATCGAACCAGCGTTGCAAACAGGCAACTATCCGGTCGTAGTCAGCACGCTGTGATCGTGGCATCTCTATCATCACCTCTAGAGCCTCACCCTACAAGCATAATCGTAACTGAACTCCCCATCCGGTCTCTGGCCACTGATTATAGTTAGCCGTCATCTCGAACTTTATCAGGAAGTCCTTTAGGGCAATTCCATCTCCCTTCCTAAAGTTTGGATGCTTTCGTTCCTTTACAGGTGTACTGCGCCACGGACTTCTCTCACGTGCTAAAGGCAGGTCCTGCATCGACTCCCTCCTTGTGTACGGCATATCCCCAACCGTAGCCGTATCTCTTGCAGGTGCCTGTGAAATTTCTGCTTCCCTGTTAAGTGCAAAATCCGAATTCATACTACCGTTTTCGGCTTTCAGAATGCTGCCGTGCTGTTCGATCGGACTCCCCCAGTTTCTCTGTACGCTTTCCTGGCTTATTCCAGCGTGGGGTAGGGGTGCGTGGTATCTCGGTCTTCTTTCCTGTTCATATTCTTCCCAGCTTTCCTGTAATCCCTTTCCTGATCCTGGTATCTTCTTCCTATAATCCTTGGCGGCCTCCTGAGATCTCTTCCTATCCCTAGAAGACTCATTCGGTGTGGATACGCCATCGTGACTGGTCGTCGGTACCTGTCTCCTTTCGAAAATAATGGACTCATCCATACTTCCCCTTTCGCGCAGCTGTGTCGATGACTCATTCGCTTCCTTGCCTTGCACATCGCTCCATCGGTTCTCCGTGGGCGTCAGAAATTCCCGTATCCTTTTTAACGCTTTTATAAAACTCGACATGTTTTTTATCCTTGCTCACTATTCGTCTATAACACTGGTACACTTGCGGTTGCTACTCCTTCATGCGAACATCCCGGACGAGCCCCCATTTTACCTGTAGTGGCCCTAGGCGTAGCGACTACGGTACGACAGACGTTGTTTCGTTTACGTGTGTCCCAGATGTTGGAATTCAGTGT